AGGGGAGGTGCCGGCTGTAGAGACTTTGTGCCTCATCATGCACACACATACACACAGACGTGCAGAAACGTGAACGCACTCACGTACACACTACCAGTAGAGATCACAGCAGGGGGCGTGGTGTCATTCTGACTTCTCCGGGAAGCCGAATGAAAGCGAAGATCTGAATTATCTTTGTTTAGGACGAGGCCTACACGAAGCGCACCTATCGATGATTAGCGGAAACATGTGCGGACGGAAACTGTTGAAAAATCAGAGCGGATGTTGGAATCCATGCGTTGGCAATTTTACACGAGGGAGCAAACATACGCACTGCAATTTTCCGAAATGTCAGCAAAATTTGAGCTAATCAAGCTATGTCATCTCCGAGATGCTGTTTGACTTCCAGTCGCTGTTGCTGCGGCGATATGCTACTGCAGTTGGCATGAGTGTTCAGCGCGCCTGTTTTCTGCCTGCGTGTCAACAAAGATATTGTTTTATGGCCTTGTCAGAGCTGAGTGCACTGCCGAGAGATGGGGGGAGACAGGAAAGCTAGCTAAATGCACTGCCTGCCGAGAGGGTGGTTTGAGGGGGTAGGTGGGTTTTTAAAATAATTTGGGGGTGGGGGGTGGGGGGTAAGTGATTGTTGCTCAGCCGTGGCGTACGATGTCAGTTTCGCCTCCAGTGAGAAGCTGAGCCAACTGGTTTCTTCAGCAGGATGAGCATCAACGACAGTCAAATTATGGTAACTGCTCACAACGACCCACGCACGTACAAACGCTTGTTTTTCTCCAGGGATAGCGAGCGTGCGAGTGTGTGTAGAGGATGTTTCGGATTGAGTAAGCTTTTTATCACACCACTTCGATTATCCGGTCGATTTAGTGTGGTAGAGAGATAATTGCATGTGAATTGTCTAAATGGCTCTTCGGCTTATTAAACGAGACTTCGAACTGAACTGTTGGTTTTATCGTGCTCACACACCACACTAACCCCAACAAGGTTATACTTGGTAGATACGGATTCCAATATTCTTGAGTAAAAAGTAAAAGAAAATAGATTCAAGAATTTAAGAGGCGCTAAAACCGTAGCAGATTCCACGAGGCATGCACAACACGATGTATGGAAACATAGAAATCCAGTGAACGATTGTAAGGAAAATCACTTGTCAGCCAGCACAAATCTGCTGACGCTTAGTGTCGCTTGTAAAAAAAAAAAGCCGTAATCCAAAAGAGATCTGAGATCGCTCATTAACAGCATCTATGCGTCACTGTAGCTCTGTTCACACACCAGATGTTTCGTACAGGAACAATCCTACACATAAAGAGTTAATCCAAAAATCATTTGTAAGAAAAGCACAACGATTGAGAGAATCAACTTCCATCCACAAAGAGCAAACACTTTCCTGCTCGGTGGTAGATCAACAGAAATCTCTGTCCAAAGAAATGCGAGCCAGCGCACATAAATCAGGTGAAATCAATGACCGCTGTGCAGTACAGTGGCACGCGTATTTATTGGCGTTCTCCGTGACAAGCGAACGCCCTCGTCCTACTGTCCTCTCACGGTGACCGTCGCGCAATTTCTTCCTTCCCCCTGGTCGGCCAAAGTCCCCGCTCATGTGACTGTGACCAAACGGCGGCGATTGTAAAGGTAGTAGTAGTACTGTAGTAGATCTAGTGACAGCAGCGGAGGTAGCAGAAGTCGCGCAGGTCTGAACCACCGATAGTCATAACAGGTCAAGCCAGCAACAGCGGTGTGTGCGCGAGCGATCGGTAATCAGGCCCGAGCGCGCAAGTACGCGAGAAAACTCTACACCTACTACTACACCCTCACAGGTGAAAAGCTTTTAGGTTGAGGGCTCTGTCTTCCTTCCTCTGCATGCCGCCAGGCTAAAGAATCCTGAGGCGACCTCTTGCTTCGACCGATTCCTCGACTCCTTATCCGAGCGTCGTTTAACTTGGCGTGCGACGACGTCCAACGCACACGTATGAGGCACGGGTTACAACCTCAACTTGGATGGGTTTTTTTTCTCCTTCTCCTTCAGTCCCCGTTTAGACTCTGTTGTGTGTGTTTGTGTGTGGTTCTTTTCTTCTTTTCCTTCCGTCTCGTCTTCTTTTTTTTTTTCAACAGGGGGAGACGAACGAAAGAACGAACGAACGACGAAGAACGTCCCAACTCACGACGACAGCCAAGACGCGGTGGACCCAGCTATCTGGATGTGGATACCCTCCCCGCTAGAGATCACAGCGAGTGAAGGGAGGAGGGAGTTGGGGGAGGGAGCGCTCTGTCGCCAAACAGCAACCCGAAGCGGTCCAAGCAAACTTCACGAGTCGCTGCGGCGGTCTTTCTTACCTGGGCCAGGGGGGTGAGGAGAGCCGAGAGCCGAGACTGAGAGGGACGGAGGGAGAAACTATCCTGGCCCACAGTACAAAGTGTACATACATACAGGATCACGTGACCCACCACCACACACAGCACCACAATATTATATTATACAGCACTGACTACGGGGCGAGGGACAGAG